ACGGCCAACCCAAGGTGGATCACCGCCGTGGGCGGCGGCGCTGTCGCCGGAGCATAGTGGAGCCGCCGTGCCAGAATTTTGAAATTGGCTTAAAGAGGCCTGGGTCTGATTTGGGATTTTTTGGGGACATGTGTAGGTACCGAAAGTGTGTTTCAGTTTCCAGAAAAAAAAATCTGAGAATTTAGGGACTGGCCGTAGGCGCAGTGAAAACCCGATTTCAGATTCCGAAACAAGTAAGGATCTCTCACCCTATTTCCTATCACGGCATTAAAGCTTAATAAATTATTAAATGGTATTTTATGAATTTATAGATATGTATAATTAATTAAGATTGCTAATGGGGTCGGAACCTGATGTATTTGTCGGTCTGTTTCTGTTTGATGTATTTTACAGTCTAAATGCAGTATAGTATCTGATTGTTTATTCTTTGGTTCCGTATGCATGAATAACTGTTTAATCTATTATGGTTTGAATTATCGTGACCCCGATGTTGTGTTTCCTTGTTTAGTGTGCGTTGCTGGTTTACAGATTTATGTTGATTGGGTAATTGAGACTAAGAAAAATAAGGATGGTATGTGAATTTATAAGTGGATAAGTCGACAGCCTCACTAGATATCTTGGGAGATGGTGGACGAACCGGGTTTATAGGGAACCCTACCGGGAACGTGGTCTCTCATATCGAACGGGGTATGGAGACTTTATGTGTTTTGGTGCCCATACCAGATGGGGTATGGGGATGACCCATTTCACCCTTATACCGGACGGGGTATTGAGGTTTATAGTTTTGGCGTCCATGCCGAACGGGGTATGGGGACGACTTTAGAATTAAGTTATTAATGTGCATGGTTCATGTATAGCGGGGAACCCCTATGGATCCCCATGGATACTAGTAGGCTGATAAAAGATAAAATTTGTTGTCTGATGATTGAAATACAAAAGCATGATATGTGTTATGTTACAGAGTGTGCTTGATCTTATGATATTTATGATATAATTATTTTCATAAATTATTTTCATGAATCTCACTGAGGTAGGTGGACAGTAAAGGGTTTTATTATTGATAAATGAGTTTGTTATAAATTATGCTCCATTGGTCGTTTTTGTTTTCTATTAACTTTTACTTATGTGACAGTGTGATAGTGTGATGTCTTTACTGGGTTAGTGTAGCTCATTCCTTACTTAACCATTTCAGATCAAGATGATTTGGTTCCCGAGCCCGTTCTGCAGGAAGACGGCGAGTAGAAGCCAAAGAATTTATTAGTTTTCCTTATAACATTTATTCATAGTATTTCCTTTAAGTTAGTTTATTCTTTCATACGTTTAATTCGTTTTGGTTATTGTGTAAGGGATGTTAATCATAATCTATTTTATTTTGCTTCCGCACTTATAATAAATATATACATTTTCTTTTAATTTTCGAGACCGTTACATGTCAGCACTGTGGCAAGGATCATGGGGACCGACTCTGCTATTGCCTCAACGACACATGCTGCATATGTGGTAGTGTCCAACATTATGCAAGGGAGTGCCCAAGGAACTAGAACCAGGCCAGACCTTCTATTCAGAATAGGACTTACAGCCTCACTCAGCAAGATGCAGAAGCCAACCTAAATGTGGTACAGGGTACGTACACTATCTGTAATCTTCTTGCACATATTTTGATTAATACTAGTGCCTCACATTCATTTGTTTCACATATTTTTACATCAAAATTAAATTTATTACCTGAAATACTTGATTTTGTGTTGTTTGTATCTACTTTTAGGAGTAGGACACTACTGGAAGAGGTTATATACAAAGCTTGTGTCATAGATATAGCAGAAAGGAATTTGAGCGTAGACCTAATAAGAAGGTCATATTCAATCCTCTTAATGATGAGTCATTTATAAATTAATAAAATTCTTTAACATTTATTCTCTCATGATAAATTTTTCTATTATCAAGTGTTTTAACCCGACTGTTTCTCTAACTAGGCAAACTCAAGAAAGAAATTTGTATTCAAGAGATCCTGATAGTTCGAGACTTTTCATATATGTTTTCGGATGAACTATTTGGACTATCAGTGGACAGAGAAGTCGAATTCACCATAAACTTTCAGCCAGGTACCCAGCCTATTTCAGTTGTTCCTTACCGCATGAGTCTTGTTAAGATGGAAGAGCTGAGAAAACATATCAATGAATTGCAGGACAATGGATTTATCTGACATAGTATGTTCCTTTGGGGTGTTGGAGTCACATTTGCAAGAAAGAGAGATTAGACGTTGAGGTTATGTATTGACTACAGAGATCTGAACAGGGTCACAATCAAGAACAAGTACCCCATTCCCAGAATCGATGACCTTTTTAATCAGTTACAGGGTGCCTAAATCTTTTCCAAAATAGACCTGCGTTCAAGTTACCATCAGCTAAAGATCAGAGCAGAAGACATTCTCAAAACAGCATTTCAAACCAAGTACGAATACTATGAGTTCCTGGTCATGCTACTTGGACTAACCAATGCACCAGCCATCTTCATGGATTTGATGAATAAGATTTTCAGATAATTCCTAGATCAGTTTGTCATTGTATTCATCGATGATATCTTGGTTTATTTAAAAAATAGAGAGGAACACGCTCACCATCTGACTCAAGTTTTGTAGATTCTCAGAGAGAAGAACTTGTATACAAAATTGAGTAAGTGTGGATTCTGCTTTGAGCAGACTACATTCTTAAGACACATCATATCAAAGGATGGAGTGTCAGTGAACCCCAAAAAAGTTGAAGAGTGCTCGACTTGAAAAAATTTACCTCAATCAAGGAAATTCATAACTTCTGGGGATAGCAGATTATTACCGCAGGTTTGTGGAATGATTTTCTAGTCTACCTGCTCCTCTGACTCGGCTCACTAAGAAGAATATCAAGTTTGAGTAGAACGAGAACTATAAAAGAAGTTTTTCAGAACTAAAGAAACGGTTGACTATTGCACAAGTGTTGGCCTTGCCGAGTGGATCGGGTGGATATACAGTTTATAGTGATGCCTCCTACCTAGGGTTGGTTTGTGTTCTAATGCAGTATGGAAAGGTCATAGCCTATGGGTCCAGATAGTTGAAGTGTCATAAAAAAAAACTACCCTACCTATGACTTAGAACTTGTCGCAATTATTCATGCCTTGAAGGCTTGGTGCCATTACTTGTATGGGGACACCTTTCAGATCTATACCGACCATAAGAGCTTAAAATATATATTCACTCAAAAGAATCTCAACATGCATCAAAGAAGATGGATAAAACTCTTTAAGGACTATGATTACAACATTTTATATCACTCGAGTAAGGACAATGTGGTGGCTGACGCACTCAATAGAAAAAGTGCAGGTATATTAGCTCACTTGATGTTTCAGAATGCAGGATAATAGGGGCCGCACAACAGGTACGACTTCAGGACCTGAAGAAGGTCACATGTTTGGCCCATCTGACTGTTCAACTTGAGTTGATGCAGAGAATAGATGAAGCTTAGTCCGTCGATTCCACCTTAGTAGCCCTCAAGAAAGATGCAAAAGAGGGAGTTAATTCAAAATTTCGAGTCTCTATCGATGGGTTGCTTAGATTTCAGTACAGGGTGTGTGTTACAAGTGACAGTGAGTTGAAAATGGAGATCATGACAAAAGCCCATCGCTCAAAGTTTGTCATGCATCCTGGAAGCACTAAGATGTATCAAAATATGCAACCCTAATTTTGGTGGAACGGGATAAAAAGAGATGTAGCCGACTTTATTTCTAAGTGTTTAGTATGTCAGCAGGTCAAGGTAGAGCATCATCACCCAAGCGAGCTATTTCAACCATTATCAATTCCGGAGTGGAAGTGGGAACATATCACAATAAATTTCGTGACAGGATTACCTAGGGCACGCTCAAGACATGATGTCATCTGGGTAATTGTTGATAAGCTTACCAAGTCTTTCCACTTCTTAGCCATCAGGATGATCGAGCTCTTGAACAAGTTAATAAGAATGTATATCCAAGAGATAGTCAGATTACATGGAGTGCCAATGCCAATTACAGTAGTGTCCGACATGGACCTCAGTTTCACTTCTCAGTTCTGATCTAGTTTTCAGCAAGCCATGGGAACGAATCTGTCCTTTAGTACTGCATTCCACCCTCAAACCGATGGACAATCAGAAAGGACAATCTAGTCACTTGAGGATATGCTCTGAGCTTATATTCTTGATTTCGGGGGGCCATTGGGATGATCATTTACCCCTGATAGAGTTCACTTACAACAACAGTTACCAAGCAAGTATTGGCATGGCTCCGTACGAGTCGTTATATGGTTGCCCATGCAGATCGCCAATATTTTGGGAAGAAGTGGGTGTTCTATTCTCCCTTTTATCATACTGGACAGGGTATGGGGACGGTCTGTTAATTGAAAATGTAAAAAAGATGGTTTACACGTAGTAGGAACATCCCTATGGACCCTCATAGATATCAGTAGACTGATAAAAGGGAAGGTTGTTGTTCCGACTGATCATATATGAAATTATGATATGTGTTATGTTATTGACTTTATGAGTTATTTTTTGTAATCTCGCTACGGTAAGTATGCAGTAAATAATTTTATTTATGACAAACGAATTTACTTAAATTAAGAACTCCATTAGTTATTTTTATGATTTTTACCAATCTTCATTTCTGTGTCTATGAGTAGCGTGATATTTTTACTGGGGTAGTGTATCTCACTCTTTCATTAACCATTTCAAATCAAGAGAATTAGGATTCAGAGCCCGATCTACAAGAGGGTTGCGAGTAGAACGTTCAGTTTGTTTACTTTTAATTTATTTCTTTACTTATTAGTTGTTCTTTTAAAAGAGTTATTCTCGTAAACCCTATTTGTCATTTTAATTTATTGTGTAAGAAATATAAATTCTATTTTATTATTTTATTTTCGCACAAAATTTATAATTTATCAACTTTAAAATTTTCGAAATCATTACAAATTAAGCATTCAACATGGGTAGACTCATAACTTCCTCTCAAAACATTCAATTCATTCATTATTTAAAACATGGAGAACAAGACATTTCCTGTTTCCCCACAGTGATAACTCACCGCACGAATTCAATCCCACCTTCAGACATGCCTTATAACCCGTGTCCATTATTATCATGTATAGATTCAGACTTATTGCGTATGAGCAAAAGTGCTTCTCCAGCATGCAACTTGGCAGATAATCTCAGTTTCTGTAACCTTCATAAGTTACAGGCGCATATAACGTGGGTGTTCAGAGTCAACGAGTTGAGTTGGAGCTTCTACGCGCTCTTTCGGCCCCAACACGAAGCTCGCAATCGATGCACGCACCTCTCCTTTCTTGCACTGCACTCTATGCTTCACATTACTCACTCTCCCATTACTCCACACCGCAGCCATGTCGCCGAGATTGACAACAAGAGAACCCGGCAGAGGCTCAACAGATAAAAACTCACCGGTGGAATTGTCCATCACCTCTAGACCGCCATTGTTTTCATCGTCCTGAAGAATGGTTAGAAACCCTGAATCTGTATGCATTTGTACGCCTGATAAACCTACAGTTTCTGGGGTAAAATTGTACTTGTTTATCCTAAATTGACAAGCCCAGTCTCTGAATATCTCCTCACTTTCTCCACTACTACTTATAATTCCCAAACTCTCAGCCAATTTTCCTGCTATTTCCATCCCAACTCCATGAACCGCTTTCGCATAAACCTTTATGATCTCCCTGCATTCAACACCCATCTCAATCCACTAATTCTTTTTAATATTCAATAACAAAAACTCAATTGGGTAGTTAAACCAAACAATTAATTAACTCAACATGCTAATTAAGACTGACAAATCATGTGTCTATATATATATATGTA